CAAGCTTGTCTTCTTTGCTTTGAATGTTCGGCTGCTTATTTCTACACGTGCAGTTATGCAGGGGCACTGTGTCAGAGGCAGTGAATATTAAAAAATATATATTATTTTCTTGTGAACATAAATTTAGCATCATCCCCACCATCCTTTTGCATCTATTTGTGATTGTTTTCGTGGGTTTTGTCACTTTGTTCGATAATTCTGGTCATTTAGGGTGTGTTTGCAGTCATTTTGTATTTGTTTAGCATAGCTTTTCATGTCTTTTTAAAGAGATTTTCCTGCATCATTATAATAATGTTGGTCCAGGATCTACGTTGCAACTGACCAATCATCTCTCAGTTGGCACTGGCCAAGAAGTTAGTTAATTATTTTAAAAGTATCACTAGCAAACTTACATGAGCAAACTAAATTTGGCTAACGGAAGCTAACTTGATAATATTTTTATTCGATTGTATAGATTAATAAAGAAAACAGAGCGTTTCTTATAAACATAGCCTTTTTTTTTTCTTTTTTACCCCATAATACAAAGCTGTGACGCCGTGACTGGTCACTTTCAATGTTGATCCTGGACACACATTGTTATGATGATGCAGAAAAAACACCAACACAGGGATATCAGATGCACCAATCGTTGGTCGCTGCCCCTCCCTGATCTTGATTTTGTCGGTGGTCTCTATTGCAAAGCGCTGCTCATAGCAGGTTGTTTGCTCACTGGGGCTCTCTCTCTAATATTGCAGCATATTTAACTCCCTATTGTCAGGCACAAATTTTCCTCTAGACACCATCACAGTGGATTTTAATCAAGCAATCAAAATGTGACTGAAATGCACACCTTCAGGTCTAAATCGAGGGATTTAACAAAAGTAACACAAAACCTATAAAAGTGGCTAGATAGCAACATTTCTATCTCTTTAATCAGCCCATTCTCACTCCCAATGCCTAATATACCGACGATTTGTCAAGTCCCGAGGTGTTCCATGGGAATGCGAAAGGTGACCTTCTGCGTTCCCATGCTACGCACTGGATTGTGGATGAAATCGAATAGAATGACGCTCCCTCGGTAAGACATGTTCCAGCCGTGTATTCCAGCCCTAACCCTAACCTTATCCCTAATCGTAACCAACACCTTAATCGTGTTAGATAGTGTTTTCCAAAGAAATTTAAGTAAAATAAACGTACATGTGTGGATTCGTTCCAACGGTTCTCATTTTCCGAACCCGTAATATAGCGATGGGTGGCTGAAATCGTAATATACCGACTATTTGTCACCTAGCATAAAATGTTACACTTTGGGAGTGGGAACGTGTTGCTTTATTAGCTTTATTGTTTGTTTTTCAGCCTAAAAAATCCCTCCTTCACTTGCACCAATGGCTCTTTGGGAGTTCCAATGCACACCTTCCAAACACAAGTTCAACACTTGGAATCAACTCCAGATCTCTTGTCTGGTTCATTTGTCACTGAATTAAGGCTGCCACAAACAATTATTTTGATAGTCGACTAGTCACCGATTATTTTT